AATTGATCGGGGGTAAGTGACTGGTCTTCTGGCAGTAGGAGTAATCTGAATATTGTTGTGATCTTTGGTGTAAGGAACTATCTATTACAAAGGCAAGCTTGCCTGTGTGGTAAGACAGACTGGAGTACCCAAAGGGACTGTCTGTGACTCCATATTAAGACTGTTATAGTGCTTGAGGAGTTCACACTTGATACCTGGTTGGTGAAATCTAAGTTCAGAACTCATAACCTGGTTGGGGTCTGTGCCCTGCTTCTTTGCAGTCTGCCCTGAGGTTGGTAGTCATGCTCGTGAGCCACTCCAGACAGCTTAATAAACCTCCTCTACTGCTCTCAAATGCAATAGGAAGTTGACTTCTTCTCGTATATATGACTCATGAGATGGGTCCCTGAAGAGGGACTGGGAGGGAGGAGAGGAGGTTGGAACAGTTTGAAATTAGATGGGATACTCCTTGTTTATGATCACAAGGAGCCACCGATCCACAGTAATCCCAGACCAAGCTTCTTTGAAATAACAGAGGCAGCTGCCTAACAGAAAAATAGGGGATGGATTCAAAGATGATCCAGCTGAGCTTTTGATTGTCCCATCAAAACTGTTTGTGGGGCACCGGCCCCTGCTGCAAGGTTATCAAGGAGGTAGTTGAAAAGTGCCATTGATGGAAATGTTGGAGCTTCCTCAGTGGCTCTGAGGGATGTTGTTGGAACTGCTGCTGGGGCCTGTATCTGAATGAAGACTGAGGCTGCTGTGGGGCTCCTTACGCTTAGGAGCTGGAATGTACAGCCCCAGTGAATGGAGGTTGCTCTCCAATCTGTTAGTAGGGCGCAGCGCTTCATCCATGCTGCTGTTGAAGAGGTCATTTCCTAGAAATGGCAAGTCCTCTCTGGTCACTTGGACCTCGCAAGGGATGCTGCAGCCAGGGGGACCACTTCATTGTCAACCATTCTAGTGGCAGCATCTGACACATCCAGTGCTGTCTGGAGCACTGTTCTGCAGGTGAATTGTCCTTTTGTTATGTTGGATCTTAGTTTCTCTTAATATCCACTGGGGAGCCTGCCTGTGGCAAAAAAAAGTCATACTTTGCTGGGAGTACCTGATAGCTAGTAACTCTGAGTTGAAGATTCTCAGAGCAGTACACTTTCTGTCCCACAAGGTCCAGCTTCTTTCGATCCCTTTCTCGGGGTGGGGGAGACCCTAGTTTGTCATTATGGCCTCCCATGCAGCTTGCAGGAATCCAGGATGGGGTGCTGGAAAGACATACTCTAAATCTCTTCACCAGAACCTTTTGTGTTCTATCTGACCACTTGGAGGCAGTGGGCACCAATGCAAGTGTGTACCATATAACTTAAGCTCATTCATCAGTAGGGCCATTCTACCAATTGAGAGGGCAGAAGAATGTTTATTAGTTTGTGCTGCTTCTCTTACATGATCTCAAGCGAAATATTGAGAGTATCCACTAGCTTCCTCAGCAAATCCTGTGAAACATTCAACTTGTTCAGAGAGTGTATGGATGGTGGATCAGTCGCTTTGTCTGGGGAGGAGGAGGATGGATAGCCAGTGGCTGCTGGTGTTCATCCCCACTGAGCGCTTGTTCCTCTTCTACTAGGGGTTGTTGAGAAGTTGGTGCCAACTGTAGCAGCTGTTTGAGCAAGGCCGACTTTGGTTTAGAGATAGCTGAGGCAGCCATTTTCCTGACGCAGGGGTTTATGCCCAAGTGGCCCAATCGGTCCTGGGTTGGTGGGGTACTGAGGAAGAAGTGGGCACATGGATGGACACCAGCTTAGTGGTTCTCTAGAGGAGCCTGGTGACATGTGATTGCCTCTTATGGACTACTCCCTGGACTGACTGTCCATGTCCCACTGGGCCATCTTTGGAGGGGTGGGTTGTATTCTGGTAAGGATGGTCTGCTGCAATCACTTGAGAAAGATGAAAAGGCAAAGTCTTCTTCAATGGATGAGGAATAGCCCTCGAAGAGAGTCCTGTCTGGTTAGGTCTATGGCTGATTTTGACAGACTGTGAGATGGACCTGGCCTCTCTGAGTCTGTCTCAGATCAGGGACTCTGCTACTAGTCTCACCACTAAGTCTGCCGGTGCCAAGAATTACATCAGTGCTAATGAGTCCACGTGTGCTGGTAAAGAACTCTCTGTTGATGATTTCTTCAGTGTTGCAATGCTTGGTATTAGGCCTGCCGAAATTCCAGGCCCCAGGGCCAGGGCCGTCCCTGGTGGGGTGGGGCCTGGGGTGGAAGTGACGATTCTGTCACTTCTGGGACCGCCCACGCTGGCCAATCGTGCTGGCCCGCGAGGCTCAGAGCAGGCACACGTGCGTGCACCTAGGAGCCCTGCGTCCCGCCCGAGCAATTTAAAAGGGCCCAGGGCTTGCGGTAGCGGCCAGGGGCCCCCGGGTTCTTTTAAATCACCTGGGCCCCTGGGCAATTGCCCCTTTTGCCCCCTCCCCCATGTCGATGGGCCTAATTGGTATCCACAAGTTTGGCATCAGTTTCCTTGGTGACAGGTTGTCTAGTACTGGTGTGCAGAGACAGTGCAGGGTCAGCTGCTTGAACAGTACTGGGGAAAGTGCAATGCTTATTCTGGGACGCGACCATTGGTGCTGTTTTTGCCTTTGCACTTAGGCAAGGTTCAGTCTTAAGACTCTGATGAGCTGAAACCTAAGGAGAGGACTTCTTCCTCTTAGATGAGGAGGGAGATCAGCACCTTCCCTGGTCTCTAGCATGGAGCGACTTGTTGCCCATACTGTGTCAAAGCTGAAGCTGCTGAAAAGCAAGATTTGTAAGTGTCCTTCAAGCTCAGTGTGACATTGAGGCTCACAGGGGCACTGGAGAAGTAAGACTGGCCAGGAGGATGTGGTCTGTCAGCGGGTTTGCCTGGGTCCAACAATGCTCACAGGGGCACTGGACAAGTGAGACTGGCCAGGAGGTTGTGGTCTCACAGCAGGCTTGCCTAGGTATGACAACGTTTGCATCACGGTCTCAAGGAGATGTATCTTCATCTGCCATATCTAGCTTTCAGGGTGCAATTTAAGAAAGTCTTGTATACCAAACAGCATTCAGGCAGCTGCCCCTCAACTAAGTATGGAAGGCAGTTTGCATGAGCATAGCTGATGGGCATTGCTGTGTCACAGGAGGGCCAGATCTTGATTCCTGGATGTCAGTCTTTGGTCATTTTGGCCTCAGGTATGGGGTGGGGATGGGAGTTTAACCCTGTACTGAGGGGGGAGGGAGGAGAAGGGAGGTTGAAGAGACATGGGCACCATAAGGTTCAGTCTCACAGCCATGGCTGGCAAGAAGGGATTAAGGTTGTTGAGGCCAGTCCATCCCCTTATGCTCTCCTGGTGGTCTCACAGCTCTCAGGACACAGGCACAGCCCTAAAGGACACTCCTATTCAAAAAGAATGGGATCTTGTGTGCATGAAACATATGCATACCAAGAATGGAATCTGTGTACAATCGCTTAAAGAAGAAGAAAAGGTTTGCTCAAACTTATGCTTAATTTCCTTAAAAGAACATACCTACTGTTTAGGCACAAACTGTTTCCTATAACATGAGTGAAAACAAGCCACAAAATTCTAAATAGTGTTTCATTTTTTAAAATCTCTCTTTCCATTTCTAATAAAAAAAATTAGACAGTCACAATTTTATAAGTCAGATCAGAAACAAAACAACCAATGTTTTGTCTTTTCTTGCCTATGGAAACACTTAACAACTAACCTTTACACAGAGTTCTGTGACAGATTCATACCTGAGGATTCTTGTATGCAAATATATTGTCAGAACTAGAGGCCATAATTGCAGTTGTTAACAGAAAATTGCTCTGTTAATTCCTGCTCCATTCAATACTTGTGAAATGGAATGTGCAACACTCACAGCAGAAAAATGTATCTTCAAACACGAACACCAAAGAATGAAAAACAGAAGCTGATTTCATAAAATTATTTGTCAGTGCTTATTTATCCTGTACAGTATTTAAACATCAGAGGGGTAGCCGTGTTAGTTTGGATGTGTAAAAAGCGACAAAGAGTCCTGTGGCACCTTATAGACTAACAGACGTATTGGAGCATAAACTTTCGTGGGTGAATACCCACTTCGTCAGACGTCTGGGTATTCACCCACGAAAACTTATGCTCCAATACGTCTGTTAGTCTATAAGGTGCCACAGGACTCTTTGTCAGTATTTAAACAGGAAATTCAAAGGAATAAGAAGGAACTGGATGTTTTAAGTGACTGTAATATTGGATATTTGAAAGTCAAGATAGAGCTTTCAAGGAAAATTTAAATAATATTTTCCCAAACTAACTTGTGCCATTAGTCCCTGATTTTCCTCAGCACTAAAATTTACCCCTATTTAAAAAGAATAGTTACTTTTAAAGGAATAACTGACTATTTAAATTTGGTTTAAAATTGAGATTTTCTAAAAATAAAATTCTTTATTATGCTTAAGACTAAAAGGAATGTTTCCAAGTTTTTGTTTTTTTTAAATGCCAATGGAAACAGTCGTATAGCTGTTTTTACACAAGAACATTCTCTTTCAGTATTTGGAACCCAAACACAAATGCACTGAAATCTGAAACTGACTATATATACAATGTATTAATCCAGTTTCCATTTCGATTATCCAATCTAAGGAAGATGTAAAAAACAGACAGCATAAATAGTGAAAAGTAAAATGATTTTAAACAGTCTTTCATTTTTAATAATTTAAGATATTAGGAGCAAAGAAATTTGATTATTTTACAACACTGCAAGCTGTGTCCCTTTGTTTTATTTAACAATAACATTTAAAAAATTGAAGTAAATGTAAAGGTACTGATTTAATAAGGCACTTCAGCATGTGCAATGCAACTATTCATACAGCTAAAGTTATGTACTTGCTAAGCTATATTGCTAAATCAGGGCTCATGATAGAAAAATGGGAACTGGTTTGAGTCAGATTTCCAAAGGAGGTAAAGGGAGAGAAGAATAATTTATGAAGAATTTTATTTCTTTCACCTGGAAGAAGGGATGTTGTCTGATTTCATCAGCATCACCTGGACCACAGCCCAGCCTTTTCTTGGGATCTTTCATCAAAAGACGCTGAATTACATCTTTAGCTAAAGCACTCATTTCTTGGGGATACGGAGGTTCACTTTTTAATATTCTCCTGTAGAAAAAATGTTAATTACTTAATAACATTTCATTATGGTATTAAAACAAAAGACAACTGCTATGTATATATTGGATAGTTCTACAATAAGAAATGTACAGTTTCTTGCCACTCTTGTCACATACAGTATTCTTGTATGTGAGCTTATTGCATTTGTTCTCTGTGCAATATACTAACCTGGACAATATGACCTTCTGAGTAATTAGCTTGGGAAGAAATATGAAAGCCAATGAATGCAATAAAATTCCTCAGCTGGACTAACTGAACAAATTACTGGTGAAGACATCTTTCAAGTCAAAAACTCATCTGGCCAAAGTAATAACAATGATTAAAGTTGTTTTTAAAACAAAAGAGGATGTCTGGGGAATGACAATTATAGGCTCAAATTGGAGATAAAGTTTTCCATGAAAGGACTACTGCACACAAAAAACAGTTACCTATCTTTTGTAACTTGTTCTTCGAGATGTGTTGCTCATGTCCATTCCATTCTAAGTGCGTGTGTGCCCATGTGGACAGTTGTCAGAATTTTTTGCCTTAGTGGTATCTGTCGGGCCGGCTGAGGCACCCTCTGGAGTGCCATGCTCATGCACTGGTATATGAGGCGCTGCCAGCCCTAGACCCTCTCAGTTCCTTCTTGCTAGCAACTCCAACAGAGGTGTAGGAGAGAAGGTAATGGAATGGACATGGGCAAAATATCTCAAAGAGCAACAGTTACAAAAGGTAGGTAACCATTTTTTCTTCTTTGAGTACTTGCTCATGTCAATTCCATTCTAGGTGACTCACAAGCAGTAACCCTGGAGGTGGGCTCACAGTTCACGAGCGTGCAGCTTGCAACACTGCTCTACCAAAGCCAGCATTGTCCCAGGTTTACTGGGTGATTGCACAGTGGGACGTAAACGTGTGGATGGCCAACCAGGTAGCGGCCCTGTAGATATCTTGAATCGGCACCTGGGCCAGGAAGGTTGCCGATGAGGCTTGCGCCTTGGTTAAATGGGCAGTTACGATTGCCGGAGGTAGCACTTTCACCCGTTTGTAGCAAAAGCAGATGCAGGCAGTCCATCTGGGGAGTTCCCCACCTCCGGAAGATCATGCTGACCACCTCTGGATGAACTGACCACTCGTTGCAAGACGAAGTCTTGCTGAGGTGATCTGCCAACACATTCTTGGCCCTGGGAAGGTGCGAAGTCATGAGATGAATGGCATGCTACACACAAGTTCCTCCCCCCACCAGGGAGCTCCTTGGCAAAGGGCTGATGACAAGGCTCCGCCTTGTTGCTTGATGTAAAACATCACATTTGTGTTGTCCATCAGTATCTTTACCACCCTGCTCCTCAGATGAGCATGGAAGCCTGGCAGGCCAAGCGAACCGCTCTGAGCTCTCGGCCGTTTACATGGAGGGAGAGATCATCTTGCTGCCAACAACCTTGCATGCTGAGATTGCCCAGATGGGCTCCGCATCCCAGCTCTGAGGCACTGGAGACCAGGATCACCAACGAGGAGGGGTACTCTTTTGGAGGAGGGCGGTGCCTTCGTAGTGGAGAAGAGAGTCTTGGGAAGGATCTGGAGGGCGGCCACCAGGTGGATGGTGAGGAGGAAAGGAAAGGAATTCGACAATGTAGCCCTGGTGGATGATGTCCAGCACCCAACGGTCAGAGGTGATCCTGCCCAAGTTGTGGGCAAGGAAGGCAAGACGACCCCTGAAGATGATTTGTGGCATGGCTGGAAGCCCCAAGGAGGGTTCATGGATCACAAGGGAAGAGTCAAAAGGGTTGTTTAGACAGTCAGTGAGAGGTGGAGGAGGCGGCAGAAGAAGAATGGCGAGGCCGTTGGGAGTCAGGACAGCAAGGAGGTGGATCAAGTGGCCGCTGGGGGTATGGCTGGTAAGTGGTCCATGGGCAAGAGTGGAAGGATGGGTGTTGTTGCCGGTGTGTGGGGGGTAGAATATAAATGCCCAGGAAATGAAGGGTTACTCGGGAGTCCTTAAGAGAGTGAAGGGACTCATCCATTTTGTCACCTCACGGGGGAGGTCCTCAAGGGTTGTCTGGACCTCTTTGGGGAAGCCACTAGACTGGACCCAATAGTTGGGGCATAGTACCACACTGGATGCCAAGGAGCGAGATGCAGTGTCCCGGTATCAACCACGGCCTGGAGGGCCATTTTGGCTACCAGTTTGCCCTCGTCTAACAGGTGTTGGAACTCTTGCTGCCTGTCTGGTGGAAGAGAGTCCTGAAAGTCTGCCAGTTTGGAATAGGGCAGGAAATCATATTTAGCAAGAATACCCTGGTAGCTGGCATTGCGGAACTGTAACCCTGCTGAGAATAAACTTTGCAGCCTGGCAAATCCAGTTTTTTGGCAGCATGATCAGGGGGCTAGATTTGAAGTGTTGCTGACGGGCGCGTTTGGTGGCGGCATGGACAACCAGAGAATTGGGTAGTGGGTGAGTAAAAAGGAAGTCAGTGCCCTAAGAGGGGACAAAGTAGCCGTGTTCTGCCCACTTTAGTGAAGGGGCACAGGATGCTGGTGTGTGCCAAACCATTTGGGCTGGTTGTAAGATGGAGTCATGTATTGGTAAGGCCGTATGAGAGGGTCCGGGAGGTTGAAAGATGTCCAGGAATTGGTCCTGGCGGGGAGTCTTGAACATTCTCCAGCGGGAGACAGAGCAGCAGCCATGTGACGGAGCAGGGACTGGTGCTGTGCGTGGTCCTCTGGTGGTGAGAGGGAAGGTGGAATAAGGGCATCGTCCAGTGACAACGAAGCGCCTGTGGGGGACCAGTGGTTCTGATGGTGCGGCTGGGGCCAACGGTGTGAGAGCATCCAGGGGTTCCTCCTGGAAGGTGGCAGTAGGGAAGCAGATGAGCGGTGTGGGCAATGCATACCGTGATGGTGGTAGGGGTCCCACGAGGGCCAGTGAGGCCAGGATTCGGGATCACCATGCATCAACAGCGCCCACAGGTAACGGAACCATGGGTCAGATGCAGGACCGTAGTCCAGAAGGTAAGACCAGTATCAAGGGTCCAGACTGTAGGAGCGGGCCAGGGAAAGGACCATGTCCAGGTCGAAAGACCAGTCGGACTCCGAAGGGTCCAAGAGAGAAGGAGCCGTCAGCACTGGTGGGACCAATGGTGCCAGACATGGTGCGGGAGGATTGTGAATGAGCAGAAGTGGCTCGTCCACCACCAGAGCTGGTGGAGAATGGTGGAGGACAAGAGGTTCATTGGCCAGAAAAGGGAGTCTGGGGCCGGGCAGAGGTCCAGAGCATGGCGGAATGTCCACAAACAGCAAAATGAGTTCTGCTGACGGTGTCAAGGGCGATAAATGGCCCGGAGTGCGCGGGACTCAGTGCAATTAGCATGAGGGTCCCGGTGGAGTTGGCAGTGCTGGGAGTGAAGTAGGAGTTTCTGGGGCCAGAATGGAAGATGGAGCTGGCAGTGAGAAATAGCGTTTGGAACAGTGCTCCGGGCGCACTCTCTTTGGAGCTGGAGCTTCCCTCATGATGTGCAACTTCTCACCCGACCCATCACAGCTTGGGGAGGTAATGCTGCACTTTGAGACGGTCCCCATCGGAGAGGCGCCCTTGTGCCCATGCTTCTTGTGCATGCAGCGGGGCTTCAGTGGGTGTGGCGGTGCTGCCGGTGATGCATGTGAGGGATCCAGTGAGGTGCTCACCGCTGGTGATGGATGCCGCTCCAATGATTGTGTCGGAGGCAGATCAGGTTGTGCACGTGGGCGCATTGCCTCTTCCATTAGAAAATTATGTAGGTGAAGTTCTCAAGCTGCTCGGGTCCGCAGTGGAAACAAGCGGCAGATGGAGCAGTGGAAAACTATGTGGGCATCACCCAGGCAGTAAAGGCAATGAGTGTATTCGTTGCTCACCGAAAAGGAGTGAAGGCACGAGGAACAGTTCTTGAAGCCGGCTTGACGGGGCATAGTCCCGGTGCCAGGGAGGAGGAGGAGAAGTCCCCGATAGAGGAATAAAGTCCAAGGGAGAACCTAACTAACTACTATGAACAAATGGACATCTAACTAGAGAAAAATTATGTACAGTAAAAGGCAAACGCAGTACTCTTAGTTGACTAAGAGCACTAAGGAACAGGGGTTCCGACTCTGGCCATGCAGTGGTAAGAGGGAACTGGAGCAGTGTCAACCTAAGCAGCCTCTTAAAACCTCAGACGTGCGACATGGCCAACGCATGATGCATGTGCGGGTCAAGGGATACTATTATGAAGTTTCAGCTCCGGCACATGGCATGCATGCGCACCCGTGTTTGGAATCCACATAGGGATCATCACTCAAAAAAGAATTATGCTTCTGCCAACTCACGTCTATGCCAGCGATAACTATTTAATCTATTCACTGTTGGCAGTTGACTGAAAGTTACCTGTAGTTCAACTTTTAGTCAGTATAGATAGAGAGAAGAAGAACTGGCTCAGTAGCAGTTCTTGGAGGTCTGTATAGCCTGTGTGGGTTGGTTAAGAGGTCTGTGAGATTTATTATTTCTGAAGTTGATCTTGGGGCAACTGGAAAATAAGAACCTGAAAAAAATCATCCTGTGGACTTGCCAAAGGACAGTCAGTCCTTTCTTAGTTGAGATGGTCCTGAGTTTTTGGGTCTGTCTGAAAGAAGCAAAGTCTTTGGACCAATGTTTTTCAAAGTCTAGCCCAGGCTATTCCCAAAACCGTTATTCTTTTCATGACAGGAGAAGTTCATAAGATGCAGCTTAGATTCTAAGTCACCTGTTATAAAAAAATAAAAAATATATGGAGATATACCTATCTCATAGAACTGGAAGGGACCCTGAAAGGTCATCAAGTCCAGCCCCCTGCCTTCACTAGCAGGACCAAGTACTGATTTTGCCCCAGATCCCTAAGTGGCCCCCTCAAGGATTGAACTCACAACCCTGGGTTTAGCAGGCCAATGCTCAAACCACTGAGCTATCCCTCCCCCCAACATAGGGTTTTAGCTGTAGAAAGTGAGTCACAATGTTGTCTGCCATCATCTAGGCCAACACTTTAATCAAGTCTATAGCCCAGTAAGCTAGCTTGCCTTTATTATATTCTACTTTGCATTATATTCAGCAGCAATGCAAGGAACCTAAAGGCCTGTATCCTGTAAGACATTTATCTTCAGCAAGTTGGCATAAGGCTTGAGGCCTATGTACTTGGAACAAATAAACTTTGTACAGATACACTGCCGGTATCTGATACAAGTACAGTAACTCCTTGCTTAACATTGTAGTTATGTTCCTGAAAAATGCTACTTTAAGTGAAAGTGTTAAGTGAATCCAATTTCCCCATAAGAATTAATGTAAATAGGGAGGATTAAGTTCCAGGGAAAAATTTTTTGCCAGACAAAAGACATTATATATACACAGTATAAGTTTTAAACAAACAATTTAATACTGTACACAGCAATGATGATTGTGAAGCTTGGTTGAGGTGGTGAAGTCAGAGGGTGGAAGAGGATGGGATATTTCCCAGGGAATGCCTTACTGCTAAATGATGAACTAGCACTCGGCTGAGCCTTCAAGGATTAATACATTGTTGTTAATGCAACCTCACACTCTACAAGGCAGCACGAATGAAGGGAGGAGACACAATAGATGCATGGCAGTGGCTGCAAACATTCCCTGCGGAAACTAAACGTGATGATTATCCCACTGGAGTGCATCACTCCCTCCACTTTTCAAAGTGCCGGGGGATGCGTGCGTGCGTGTGTGTGTGAGAGAGAGACAAAGACACGCATTGCCCCTTTAAGTATGTTGACACCACTCTAAGTACACTGCCTTTTTAAGTATATCAGCAAGTTGAGATAGCAGCTGCTGCCAGCAAGCTCCCTCCATCCTGAAGCCTGTGGTGTCCCCCACCCTGCTCTGTGGCGATGGGGTACAGGAGCACCCTGACATCAGCACCCCTCTTCCCCCCACCCCTTGCACAGCAAGCGGGAGGCTCCTGGGAGCAGCTCCAAGGCAGAGGGCAGGAGCAGCGCACGGCAGTGGTGGGAGGGACACCTGAACTGCCTGCCACTTGACAGCCTGCTGAGCAGCTGCCGCACAGGGAACTTAGGGGAGCTGATGGGGGCTGCCGGCCCACCCTGGTTCCAAGCCCCCGCCAGCTAGCTCCAACAAGTTGCTCTTCCTGCAAGCAGTGGACAAAGCAGGCGGCTGCCAAACAACGTTATAATGGAGCATTGCACAACTTTAAACGAGCATGTTCTCTAATAGACCAGCAACGGAACGACATTAAGTGAGGAGTTACTGTGTTGGGGTGCTAACAATAGAGTATTTAAAGGAAAGTTCTGACCACAGGTACATGATCCAACCACAAAAGTGTCATGGCAATGAATTGTCGTATATAACAGGTACATGAGCTACATCCGCAGATACCTAACCACAAAAGGGCAATGGTAATGAATTGATGTATATGATAATAAGTTGAGATCATTGATATACTAACCTATAGAATTAGTAACCTATAAAATTAGTAAGGTAAGGACATACAAATAAGGAAAAAGAGAAATACCCCTACTGAATATGCATCAAACACAGTGTCACTAATATATCATATTATAAAAGTTGCATCCCAGTCTAGGGGCGGTAGGAGAAGGAGATGTAGTCCTTGGGAGATGCCAGAATGATGGCCACTGGTGATAATGGGGACGGTGATGGTGATGAGGAAGGTGATGGCTAACATTTCAGATTGTTCTACAAGGGATGGTGTGAGTACATGGATGTGCAAATGTGCATTCTGTAGAATCTCTATCTTACTGAGTTGGGGTGTTTATGACTGTGCTAAATACATTAATAAATTCTATTTTTAGATATAGAAAAGTTCCTATATTGTGAGTGTTGCAATTGTGCACATCAGGGTTGCCAACTATATAATAATTTGTATAATACTGGGTCTGATCTTGGACAAGAACCTTTCAACCCTTAAAGTAATACCTGCGGATTCTTAAGTAATCAATATAATTAATACATAAGCTAAAAATTGGGATACAAGTCTCTAGTGGCAACATATACAAATTGCTAGTTATAACAGTGCCCACTTCACCACAGATTGCAAAAAGAAAGAGGTCTAAGTTTGTTTTTTAAAAACTTCTCAAGATAAGCCTCATGGAGTTTCTAGGCTCTTGAAGACAACTTGAATCAACAGAAAAGACACACACATGTATTTCCTGAATTTATAGGATCAAAGGTCCTGTGTCTGTTTCTTTGTCTCACTTATGTATGCTCTAACAATTATTATAGCATTGGTGTCAGGGGGTGAGGACTGTAGTTGTCATTGTCCATTGGGAGCAAGATCAATGGGAACCAGATACTCTCTTTCTTTGAGCAAGGTTTAATGAGGACTTTTAACTTGTGGGATGTAAGACCCACAAAGTCAAGAAAAAAATCAGAAATGGGAAATATCCATTTGGGTATGGATGCATTTTGGGTATCTTATCTGGGAATGGGTATATTTTCTTCAAATTGCCTATACAGCTTGCTCAGAGATTTAGATTTAGATACCTAGGTGCCACCCCGATGTAACAATACAGATACATGCTGGGTGCTCAAACAAAGGTTTAGTTCAGGGTGATTGGCCTCTTAAATCTCTCGAGTAAGGGTTTATAAGACACGAAAAGACTGTATATTAAACAATCTGAATGGAGATATTCAGTTTTGTTCACATTGTTTTCACTGTCTCCTCTCAGAAGTGCATCATGTTGGCAGAAAGAGAGCATGTTCTTTGATTTGTGTTGTTTGTTAGTTAATAAAGTAACTAACACCCATGATGTAAACTAAGAATGAGACCCCCAATTCTGCATATATGATCCAGTTGGATGACCTTCAAGGGCTCATATGTTGGCAAAGCTGTCCTGCAAACTATACAGTTCATCATTAGATGACAGAAGATATGACAGGCAGCTGTTCTGTTTGCATATGGTTTCAAATGTAGATAGTCTTCCATTCTACAACTATACCTCATTTTGTATGAGTGCTTTGGAAAGCTTTAATATGAAACTAGCACTTGTGTAAAGATGATCTTGCTGGAACACAAAGTTTCTATTTGTGCTGTTGGAGCTCCTCTCTGCAGCAGCACTAAAAATGCTACAACTGATTGTTCTCAAAAGCTTCAATGTCTATGTGCATGAGGACTTCTGAATTAGCTCAAAGATCTCTACCATGGTATTTTGAATGTGGAGTGGAGGTTGTACAGGTGGAGATTACACCCTTGCCACAGACCATCCATTGCCTTTTTCTGTTTGGAGCAAGGTTGTAAGCATTTAGGTGCAGTGAATATATCTTCATCTGTGCTTGGAAACCATCTACCACGCTGCGGGTGCTATTACAATTAAATATTATAAATACTAGGCAGACTCTTGTTGATGGTCTACCTGCAGAAGTTAATGAAACCAGTCTGCTTCCAGATGGCTCATTGAGAAATGATGAATTTCTGATTATAAGGATTTGGTAAGTGTTTAATCTAACATCTGAAATTTAATTGAACTGAAACAGAATAAGTTGCATTTTTTTCTAAATCAGGATAAAAGTCATCAAAATAATTTACAGGGTGGCACTGTAATAATTTTCTATGAGAAAACACACACCCTTTATTGTTTCATAACTTACCTAGAAATCTCAGCTTGGGAATTTTTCTCTCCATCAACTGTAAAAGGTGATGCTCCAGTTAATAACTCATACATAAGAACACCAAGACTCCACCAATCAACAGCCTATAAAATAAAAATTATATATATGGTACTTCAAAAAGCATATAAAAATAAAACAAAATCCTAGGAAATAGCTAACAAGAGAGAACTATGTTGCAGTTTAACACACAAAGGCAGGGTATGGTGAAATTACAGAATTAAGATATTAGAGTAATTAAATTGAGATAGCGTAGAAAATGTTTAAGAGTGTGTGTGTGTGCGCGCGCATATGCATGCGCATTTCCCCATTTGGCTTTATGAGAAAATACTAAATCATAGGTCATCTGCTCCAATCCCCTACACTGAGGCAGGACTAAATGTTATCTAGACCATCCCGACAGGTCTTTGTCTCACCTGTTCTTAATAACCTCTAATGAAGAAGATTTAACAACCTTCCTAAGTAATTTGTTCCAGTGCTTAACTACTCTTACAGTTAGTAAGTTTTTCCTAATGTCTAATCTAAATCTCCCTTGCTGTAATTTAAACCCATTGGTTCTTGTCCTGTCCTTACTGGCTATGGAGAACAATTTATCACCCTCCTCTTTATAAAAATCCTTTTACATAAAGACTATTGTGTCCCCCCTCAGTCTTTTCTTCTCCAAACTAAACAAACCCTTTTTTTTTTTCAAACTTTCCTCGCAGGTCATTGTGATGGGTTGTATGCCCCACACTGAAACAGCCAGAGTTGGGGGTGGGTCTGGGTGCCCCGGCTATCCACTGCAGAATGGTATTGCTAGGGCAGTGAATGGGAAGACTGCCTGAGTCACTGTGGGAGTGACAGTCAGGGCAGTGGGCATGAGGACTACCTGATTTTGCTGCTGCAGAGGGACTTACCATGGTGTGACCTGGCTGGAGGGCTGAGTCACAAAGGAGCTGTACTGCGACTCTGAGATGGAGGAGAGCTGCAATGGTGGAAGAGAAAAAAGGGAGCACTGAACAAGGCAGAGCTATCCCCAGAATCTCCAGAAGGGGGCATCACCAAGAAATGAGTATAGGACACTGTGACAGCATGTTGGAGAATGTGGGCAGGATGATACCTCTGGTATAAGGCGTCAGTGATAGACTGTGCATGACGAGTACCCTGAGATGAGGGGTTAGAGAGAAACTGTAAGGCAGTCAAATCTCGACAAAGGGGAAGGTGAGGGGCCATAGCCGAGAAAGGACCCCTATGAGAAAGTGAAAATGAAGATGTCAACAGTACAGGCTTTTTATTTTCCTTAGAGAAGTTATCCCCTACCAGGGTGGATGCCAGAGTTGCTGCTCCCCGATGGGACCTGATAAGCACCAGAAGCAGGTCCATGCCACAAAGGGACAGATACTGGAAAATCAGAAGAGACTGTGAGAGGCCCAAGTATACCTACAGGATTATTTGGTGAGGGTAGCTGATCAACAGCAGTGGTTGTATAAAATCCTAGAAGAGGGAATAGGACAGGTCATAAGGGCCAGGAAAGGGAAAGATGGTGTTACGGCTGTGATTCAATTTCCAGCATCCTTCCAAGTTAAACTGAAGAGATTAGGCTTCCTGATATTCATGGAGAGTCCAGTGATCATAATGGGGAAAGGTGGAAGCTGACTGTCTTGGTGGTTCATGCCTCTTGATATAAGCAAACATCTTTCTATGTAGAGGGGGCTTTCTTCAAAACAGAAAAAGATATGCTTGCAATAGTGTGACTTGATTTTCAAAAATAGTTAATAGTAACAAAATTTTAGAGCACATCTCATTTCTATAAAATAAGCTAGAATAATGGCTTGCAAAAACTAGTAAGTGTTTTCCTAAAATTAAAGTTGCAATATACATTTTAGCTTAGCACTCTAAAATCTGTGTTCACATCATTGACACATTCTGGGTAGTAACTTGATATGTACATTCTAATAAGGATCACATAGAAAATAGTTGTGAGATATTGTGAGCCCGGGTTTGGGTACTTGATTTCCCACCCCCAATCCTGGGTTAGGAGATCTGGAAATAGGCGGATCCCGATAGGTGGAAAGATGGACATCAGTGGAAGTTCTGTGAATCAGAACTGTCTGGATCAGCAGGGTGTTGGAAGAGGATGCTGGCTCTGTGGTGATGGATCTTCCCTCCAACTTGCGGTAGCAGGTGGATAGGAGGAAAGGCGTATCTGAGGCCGTCTGTCCAGGAAAGCATCACCCTTGGAATTGTGACATATGGCCCCCCAGAACAATTCAAAAGGGGAAGTTTTCTGATTGTCTGGGACACAAAGAGGTCCCATAACTGTGTAAATATCTTGGTTAGGACTGCTGTGGCTCTCCCATTCATGGTCCGCAGAGAAACTTCTCCTTAGTTTGCCTGCCAGGGAGTTGTGAAATCCCAGGATGTACACAGCTTGTACCATGATGTGGCTTCTGATACACCAGTTCCAAAGTCTGACTGCTTCCAGGCAGAGGGGATGATATCTCGCTCCTCCCTCTTTGGTTATATACACCACCGTGAGGATATTGCCCAACATTATCTGTACAAGGAGTGAGCTTATGAGGGGAAAGAAGGCCTTGCATGCAAGGTGAACGGCCCTCAGTTCCAATAATTTTATATGCAGCCTGGCCTCTTGTGAGGTCCAGGTACCCTGAGCAATGTGGTAGTCCACGTGAGGACCTCACCCTATAAGGGAGGTGTCTGTCAAAAATGATGGCTTTTAGTATGGGAGGGTTGAAAGAAATCCACACCATGACTTGAGTTTGACCATCAAGTGAGGAGTTAAGAACTCTGGTGGGAACAGTCACCATGGAGTCAATATGGTCCCTGTTTGGTCAGTAAGTTGAGTGGAACCAGGCTTGCAGACAGCGTATGTGGAGTCTGGTGAACAGAGTCATGTAGGGAATGTGATGCAACAGCAAGAGAGATGGGTGTACCGTAGTTCGCGGTTTACAGGTGATGCAGGAAATCAGGTTGCTTATCACATGAAATCTGTCTTCAGAAAGAAATGCTCTCGCAGAGACTGCATCCAACCATGCTCCTATAAAGTGTGTTGTCCTTATGGATGACAAAATGGAATTTTCTTCGTTTATACAAACGCCTAAGGTAGCAAGAAGCTGTGGAAGAGATCCTATTGCTGACATGATTTCCTGATGAGACTGGGTTACCAGGAGCCAGTCGTCCAGGTATGGAAACACAGTATAGACCTAGCATCTCATCTGGGCTGGTACCACAGAGAAAACTTTCATGAATACCCTGGGTGCTGTAGTGAGTCCAAAGGGGAGTACCCAAAACTGACAATGTGCCTGTCATACCATGAAACACAAGGACTTCTTGTGGGATGGGTAAATGTCCATGTGGAAATATGTATCATCCATGTCGAGAGCCACAAACTACATTCCTTTCTAAAGGGAAGGAATTATAGATGCCAGTATAATCATCCTAAATTTCAGCTTTTGGATAAAGATGTTGATAAAGCTGCCGAAAGTCCAGGATGGGTCTCCACCCTCCATCTTTTGGGGGCATTAGGAAATATGGAGAGAAAAAAAAACCTCCCTTGGTACTGAGGCGGGATGCGCTCTATTGCCCCCCACAATATTCTCTTGATAAAGCAGTCAGACTTTGGAACTGGTGTATCAGAAACCACATCACAATAAAGCTACGTACACCCTGGGAGTTCACAACAGCAGAAGTGAGAGTGGTCCCTGAAGGGGGATTGGGAAGGAGGATTGTGATGAGGGAAGGAGAGATAATTGATGGAATAGCCCTGATGGAGAATCTCCAGGACCCAACTGTCCATGGTGATCTTGTTCCAGCTGTAGGCAAACAGAATTGAGACAACTGCCAAAGGTGACAGGAGAAGTGGGTGGCATCTATGTGGCATGCAGGTCTCGACCTGTATGTCAAAAGTGGCCCTTGGCCTGCGGTTGAGAGTGAGTGGAGGCTGTGGCAGTAGAGGGAAGTGAGAAATTGAACCTCTGAGTCCTCTGGCATTTGTGCTCAGGTAGACACTGGTAATAGAGAGCTTGCGGAGAAGGTTGTTTTGCTCTAAAGGACTGTCTATGGTGGTTCCTCCTGGGGACTGAAGTGTAAATAACCAGGGACCTCAGAGTAGATCTCGAGTCCTTTAGTGAGTACAGGGATTCATACGTCTCTTCATTAAAAAAGTTGGACTCACTGAAGGGAAGGTCCTGCATGGTGTTTTGGACCTCCCTAGGAAATCCTTACAACTGTAGCCACAAGTCCTTCAGCATAGCAAGTTCTGCGGCCAAAGTCCTGGACATTATGTCTGCGGTAGCTACTGCAGCCTGGAGGGCCACCTTGGCTACTAACTTCACTTCACCTAGGCTAGGTCCACACTACCCGCCTGATTCGGCGGGTAGAGATCGATCTTCTGGGATCGATTTATCGAGTCTCATCTGGACGCAATAAATCAATCCCAGAAGCGCTCCCCCGTCGACTGCGGAACTCCTGCTTGCCAAGAGGAGGAAGCGCTGTCGACGGGGGAGCTTGCCTGCGCCGCGTGGACCCGCAGTAAGTAAACTTAGTTCGATCTAGGAAACGTCGACTTCAGCTACGCTATTCTCGTAGCTGAAGTTGCGTTTCCTAGATCAATCCCCCACCCCAGTGAGGACCAAGCCCTAGAAGCAGTAGCATAGCTAGCAGGGTGTAGCGGAAGCAGCCGCTTCCCCCGCCTTTCCAAAAGCGGCCGGAGGAGCGAGGGGGGGCGCAGGCTGGCGCCCTGCAGCACAGCCGGCAGCCATGGGGGGGCGGCGGGCGCGGCCGGAGGAGTGGGGGGGACGCGACCAGAGGAGCGGGGGAGCATA